ATATGAAGCACCGAATCACGAGTCCAACCAAAAAGGTGTTCAGTTTCTTACCGGTGTTCATGTGTTGAGATAAACACTGAAAAAGCAGTTTGACTTGCGTTTAGTGTATGTGTTGTCGAAGAGAGAGGAGAAGCAAAAAGAGAAAAGAAGATCTAATTTTATAGTTTTTGTGGAACAGAGAGATGCGCTCCCTTTCCATAAGGATTCATATGTTTTTCGCTGTGCTTTTTGTCGCCAATAATATTCAACATTAATATTATTTCATTCACATTAAAACTGTTATACATTTACTAATAGTTGAGTGTATTTTTTGTTTTATATATTGAGAACTTATGCTTTCATTTATTAATCTAAAAAACAACTTTACGATCAAATGATTGAAATATCGATTTATTATCGGTTTATTAAATGTAATGTTTTATTTTACTGTTAATTGACTGCTAGTATGAAAATCTGCTAATTATTACAGCATTTACTTTCACATTCACTGTCACTCTGTTTTGTTTGTGGTATAAAGAGTTACGGAGCAAAAAAGTTTTTAATATTAATATTAATTTTGAGAGTAAAATAAAAACACTATTTTTATGAGAGAAAAGCAGATTATCATTGCTTAATACAGTGTGGAAACGAATATAAGATCTGTGCCGTCACTGCCCTTGTATTACAATTACAGCATTGGTTGGGACCATGAGATAGTGGTTAAGTGAGTGAACATCTCGTCTTCTATAACACTACACATCAATACAATTGTCTTACATTTTATTTGCAACAAATACCTGACTAAACGAATTGAAGGTAAGTCTTAACTGTAAAAATAAGTTTTTCTCTTATCAAATATGCAAATCTAATATTCAATAGTAATTATATCAAAGGTATACTTATTTCTATTGTCTATCACTTTATTTTTTCTCCGATACCAATCTAACCGTTCAATTCAATCGAAAGTTTTTTTGTGTTCAAAATATTTTACGGATCGATGAATCCTTTGCTAATAAGGATTGCCATCTTTCCGGCATCAGGTCTTCGCTGTTTAAAACATCTAACTTTTAATGAACTAAAACACCATTTCAGACGACAGACCAGTGCAGACAAATTCGTGGGAAAAATTAAATTCTCATGTTTTGCTTCATCTGACGAGAATTCTCTCTCATTCTCTCTACCTATTAGTTACCGGTGCTATTGATAGACAATCCACTCACTCATTCACTACTCAACTCCCAGTGTCAGTGATTCTCATCATTTAGGGAAGATTTAGCCGTTATATCGCCAAAAATCGGTTGAACTAATTCACTAATTACGAACTCCACCACAATTATTGTATTATTTAGTTATCATCTGCTATTTGCCTCTTCTCTCTCTCAAATCAAAGTCAAGAGTAGTGTATATAAGGCTTTAATTTATAACTTTTTAGAGGAATTGCATTGAAGTCGGATGTGTTATGTCAGAAGCACCTGCACTACAAATAATTGCCTTAACAGACCCTAACATACGTTGTTTTTCACTTTTACCTACACTTTTTGTTTTTTGTAGCTCTCTCTCTCTCTCTCTCTCTCTCTCTCTCTCTCTCGGCAAACAATATTAACTGATTTTAATAAATGTATTATAAATATATTAGCGATTAGTTGTGGAGTCATTGAAAAACAGTTACAATTATTGAATAGAAAAGGGTTCAGGAATACAATGAGTCAATCAAATTATTTAATTACCATATTTATATTATTGATATTAATTAATACATGTTTTTATCGATATCACAATTTCTCATAAATATTAAATATTTAAATAGAAATCATTTCTATAAAATGGATCTGATTATGAATGCATGAGAAATGATGTCTTTGAGTACATTTACCATAAATATATATCTTATTTACAAAAATACATTAACAAACAGTGGTTTTGTCAATGTTTTCACTTTATAAACACAATGTGAAGGATTGGGTGGAAAAGCAGTGAATATTGAGTTAATAATTGTGCTCTGATTTTGCAGATGAACCAACTTTGCAAAGTGTGTGGAGAACCGGCCGCGGGATATCATTTCGGCGCTTTCACTTGTGAGGGCTGTAAGGTATGGACAAAACCTTTTATAATTGTCATATTTTTGCGCACAATTCATACACAAACTAACCGTTATTCAAATCATGTTATCATTTATTTTTATGGCTCTTCTAATAGACCGCCAAAAATATGAGTTATTTTATTCCGTATTTTTCCCCAATTTTGCCGCGATTTTTGTCAAAAACTCCCAAAAAGACCATTAAATATACATGTATTGCCGATAATTACAATTCTTACTCAATGAACGACAAATATTTAATATTCTGCCTAAAAATAGTATATTTCTACATCACATGGTATTTAATGGTGCACTTGATTTTGATTGTATTTGATTGTATGATTAATTAAACTAGATATTGTAATATTTGACGAGTTTGAGATGTGTTTCGAAACAAGTATTTGAAGATTAAAACTGTTGAAACATTTAACAATATATAGAGTTTTCTTAGAATTTAGTGAACGAATGGATTGTATACATTGAGAAAGGAAATGCTCAAGGTCAATGTTAATGACCATCATAAAGGGGTTGTGTATCGAACATTTCGACTAAATATATATAAGTGGACTAAATATATAAATATATACTTGTAGTGGACTTTGCAGTGATTGAAGTCACTCTCAATATCAGCTCATAAACTATTTGTTATACACGGCATGATTGGTGATAATATATTCAAACATTAGATATTAAATACAACCAAAAATTGAACATTGTTATTTGTGAATTCAATTATGGTACACAACTTTCCGCATATTTTGGTCGCAATCAGAAATTTTTTGTTTCAAAAGAAACGCAAAAATTGCCTAAAAGTGTAACAAAAACGCTGTAAAAGTGTTAGGATTTAGTGTTGAAGTCACGCATCAAATAGTCTCCAATTGGTCTCCATTTGCGGCAAATATGCGCCCATTTGTCCGTCAATGTCGAGCGCTCTGTCTATTACTGTAGGCATTAAAAGCATAGATGTATTAAAGAAATGCTTAAGATTTATGCGATTTATAATTATAATGCATAGCTTTCTGATTAAATTACTGAATTGCATATTTAAATGATTCACATTCATGTTATGTTAATTTATTTTCCAATTTAACCAATAATTTAGTCCCGTTTCCCGAATATTCGGGTTTTTATTCCCCGAAGAGTAGACCAAACCTTGAAATGAAATTACATTCAATTAGTGAAGTGATTGTGTTTTGCAATAATAATAAAAAGTGCAATCTTTTCACGTTTTCCTCAATCTCTTTGTCAGTAAACTCTGATTTAAGCGCAAAGAAGAAAAACGCATCAAATGTTGAGAAAGTTTTCTAAAACTAAAACATTTCATTTACACAACATTTTTCACTAGTTTTTTATCCGCAACTTTTCCGCAAATGAAAACTCATTTTGAGCTCTAATTTCTTTATAATTGAATGAAAAGTGAAATTTCACTTTTTTTAACAAAGCATAACATTTCAAGTGAAAAATAAATCATCTTTTAATTCATGGCTGTTTAGACTTAAATATTTTACTGTTTTGCCTTCAAATGACGTAAATATCTATTTGTGTTTATAATATGAGAGAATCTTATAATCATTTAATTAGTTTTCAATATGAAAGAAAAAGTTGAAAAACATTTTTGAAAAGTTGTAATTTTCTCCGCTTTCGTATAAAAATATATTTCAATAAATAAAAGTTAGAGAGAGATAGTTGTGGTTGTGTTGGGAAGAGTTGCCGGATTAGTTTTTATCACACGTTTAAATCAAATTGTAATTAAAGATCAAAGCGATGGGGAAAACATTTTCTCGACACCAAATTTTGAGTACAATATTTTTTTCTCTGTGAGTAAAAATCGGTGAATATGTAAATAAAATGGCATTTTTAGTGTTAAGGAATTTGCAACACAAGAGCAGAAAAATTTATTTATTTGCGAAAAATTTTTATTAATGAAATGCTATTGCATTGAAATTTTGAGCAGTTTTTGATCGATGCATGTATTGCTTAATATCGCACCAAAACATCTCCAAAAAGCAAATGTGGAACAAAACTCCTCTCTTTTCTCACTATTTCTTCCCCTCTGTTCTGCTTTCCTTTCGTTAGTAATCTGTTTCACAATCATATGATGTGTTTTTACCTTAACTTAACTCGAAATATAATAAAAATGTTATTCATTTAAAGCATTTTATATTTCAAGGAAAGTAAAAATAAAGAAAGCGTTTGCTTTTTATTTAAAATATGAAGAATGAAAGCAAAAGGCAATAGCGGTAGCGATAGTAACAAAAGCCAAGGTTGTGGTGCTTTTTGTGATTTGGTAGAAGAGATGCGATTCAATTCAAGATCAGATTATATTCTTCTACTTCTCAATGCTTTTACAATCAAATATAATAAATATATACATAAATGAGTGGAACGGGAGGTGGGTTTGAATGTACAACAGTATTCAATCCAATCTCCTTGTAATGCAAAAATTATATATTGAATGCAAAAAACAATTAAGTTTAAGGCAGAGAAACAGTTGTTCACAAAACACTTTCTTCGCAAATGTATTATTTAAGTGGTAATCAATTGCTATGAATTAGAATTGGCTCACAAACCGAGATGTATATTATATTAACAGCTATTGTTTGACCTAATTATATAAAAAATGTCCTCCAAACGCACCCACTCTCTCTCTCTCTCTCTCTCTCTCTCTCTCTCTCTCTCTC